CCACAAACCGTCACAGTATGCTGACATTGAAGTAGAAGTGGAACCTCACTGTCAGGAAATGAAGAAGTTCTAGTGTAATGAAATAGGAGTACCATTTTCTTTTTACTGATCATAAAATCACTACCGATTAGAAAAATCTATGCAACTCATAAAGAAAGCTGCTTATTAATTCAACAATGCTGTGATTTACCATAGTGGATGCCTGTATTTTCTTTCTGAGCTCCCACCCCTCAATTCCATTACATAGCTATGATAATCTGTGAAATGAACCAATTTTTCTTGTAACATTAATAGTATCTGAAAATGCCACAGGACTAATACTATGAATATACCATTTTCCTTATTTTGTTTCTACTTCATGGTAGAAAATTATATTTAAAATACAATTAGTGAAATGATGCATGGCTCTTGTAAGTCTGCCATTTGTTTTGTCCAATGAGTAGTGTAGAGAAGGTACAGCAACTCTCTTGGTAGCGGCAATCACTGTGTTTGGCTCCGAGCAGCACAGGCAATTGAGACCAATCATGACCTGAGGGAACCAGAGGGTGCTTAAAAAAACCTGCTTCATCTTCAGAAGCCATACATGTGCAACTATTCATGATAATTCATGGTCTCACTCTAGGCACGGAAGAGAATAAATGGAAGAGAAGATACTGGTAGCAAGCTGCCTAATCATTAGAAGCAGATTTCAATATAATTTGGGCTGGAGGAAGGATGGTTTGTTACTTCTAGGGAAGTCAGTGGTAAGGAAGGTGATGGGCCTAAAGATTCTACAGTTTCTCTTGTTACCTGTTTCCGCTTCTCCTTCAGCCTAACCTGGTGGGAGAATTAGACTGCTTTAGGCTACGGAGTGTTTTCATTCCCTAGACATCCCCTCCGTATATTATTGCCACATCCCAATATCAGAGGGAGAGAATAAACCTTATTATTCAAAACATATATAAAGAAACATTTAAAAAATTCCATCCAGATTCTGATTCATTCTTTATTACTGGTTTGAAAGAGGAAGGAATGGGGGGAAGGGGAGGGAGAAAAGGAGGGAGGGAGAGAGAAAGAAAAATCAATTTGTTTACCACTTATTTATTCATTAATTGGTTGTTTTTTGTATGTGCCCTGACTAAGGGATCAAACCTGCGACCTTGGCATACTGGGATGGCCCTCTAACCAAATGAACTACCCAGCCAGGGCTCTGATTAGTTTTTTTTTTCCTTCTTCTTCTTTAAAAAAAATATTGATTTTTTACAGAGAGGAAGGGAGAGAGATAGAGAGTCAGAAACATCAATGGGAGAGAAACATTGATGAGCTGCCTCCTGTGCACCCCTCATTGGGGATGTGCCCGCAACCAAGGTACATGCCCTTGACCGGAATTGAACCTGGAATCCCTCAGTCTGCAGGCCAAAATTCTATCCACTGAGCCAAACCGGTTAGGGCTCTGATTAGCTCTTAAAGCACAATGGAGTCAGTTGTGGAAGGTTGGTAGCTCTGTTTCATGAAAGGGGACACTACTGTGGAGGCTTACTAACCAATCCCTGGCCTTGCTCCGGTGCACTGGTAGATTCTCCACTCATTCCTGCCTTCTTCATGGAGGGCATCTCCACCCCTCTGCCCCTGCTCCTGGCACCACAGCTCCTCACAGGCTTTTGTCTGGATGCTGTCCTCGCTTCCCACCCACAGCCCCCATTCCTCAGGCTGGGCTGCACATCTCTCCTAGAGATCCTCGTGCTACTTGGACTCTTCCTCAGGCGTGCTATTGAGATGCTCTGTGCATTTCCCATAATCCCTTTAGGAGATACATATCATCAAGGCAAAAGCGGAAACACTTCCCATGGAAGGAATCTGGCTTGTACTCTCTTCCCTGATTATTGTACTGTGCAGTGTATGCACATAGATCCCATTAGTCAACAATAACACTGAATCTGCATCATGTTTTATGCTATACCCACAATGCCCACCTTACCATAGGCTTTTGAGCCTCATCTGCATGTATGCAAAAATCTCACCATTATCTAAGACTTCTCCCAGTGCTTCTGGGAGTTCCCGGAGATCCTCTTACATGCCACTAGGAACATACAAACTTGTGTTTTTTGCTTCTGCCCCTTCATCAAGGTGCTAGCAACCACCCTGCTGCAGGCACTTTCTCTGCAAATGCCCCTTCACTGATGGGCATCTGGCATCTTCTCACGGTCTGTACCTATTCAGTACAGATGCAACCATTGTAGGGTAAACTCCATAGTTTAGGGTATGATACTTTCAGTTTCCCTGCTTCATGCATCAGACTCAAAACCAGTGCTCAGGGCTGGGCAGCAGTGGGATAGGAACAATGGGGAACACCCTTTCTTTTCAATTATCCTTATTCTATATAATGAAGAGCTAATATGCTAATTAGACTGGACAGCGGAACAACCTTCCAGAATGACCTTCCGGGACAACCAGTGGCTGGGGGTGGGGCTGTGAGGCAGCTGGGGCTGCAAGGGCCGAGCCCCTTGCACAATTTTGTGCATCAGGCTTCTAGTCTTCTATGTTCTCCTTCCTGGTCCCAGCACAAAATCTCCTTTCTCTTTTTCAGTCAGCCTTCCACATACACACTCACCACAGACCAAAATCCTTAGCCTAGCAGCTCACATCACTGTGTTCCCATCATGATCACCAGGTCAACAGCTCTCCAAATAGTGAGATCCATCAGAAAGCTATTGGAATGAAAAGCCACACTGTGTACTTACACATAAATATTATTTTGCAAAATTAGGAGAAAAATGTATTTCAAACACTATTCATGGAAAATGTGTATGTAAGCCAACCTAAAAAGTAATTGGAGGCAAGGAGTTCTGGAGTCTTTTCTTTAAATTCTGAAGGAATTCCTCCCTCTTATGGTTGGTGAGGGCACGGAGATTAAGCAGCGCACTCAAGGTCAGGACACGGTTTATGAGCGGAGGATGAGAAAAGGCTGCAGTTTGCTGACTCCAAGGCAAAGCTGGATTCCCCAGTCCTGATCCGCATGCCGGCTGCAGCTGCCTTTATTGTCCTAAGTCCCATAATTGCTTTAAACCCTGTGGGGAGGCAGGAAGGGAGACACCTAATTTATAGGTTGATCTTTAAATTCATTTTCCTAAATTACATAGAAGTAAGATTTACAAATTATACTGGACAATCTTAGATGACAACTTGCAAACATTTAGATAGGAGACTTGGGCCAGATTTATTATAGTTCATTTATAATGGCAAACATGCTGTTGTCATCTCTATAATACTGATCCCATTTATTTAGTGAGCTTAATTTGTCTTCAAGGCTGCAGAGGTGTTTGGTTTTTTTTCTTTCCCCCATGTCAAAAGACACTAATAATTATGTTGATTTAAAACAATAGAAAGCAGCTGTACATGCTGCAAATGGAAAACAAGCCCCCAAACAGATAAACCCTTCCACAAGAGGCTTACTTGTCGGTCAGATTCTCAGAGATTGGCTGAAAATGGCTCTAAAATTTCTTCCTCAAATTTCCATTTGAGAACCAGTAGGGGGAGCAGTACTGATCGCTCCAGTTTTAGCGCCCATAACAATGCTGTCATTCAAAACACAGCTATTTACTGCAGTTTCTCCAAGCAGAGTTAGTGGTGTGTTAGACAATTTTCCTGCATTCTACAATCTGTAATAGAAACATTTTACACAGTCTTAATGTGGCTATTATTTAAGGATTTATGTGATACATTTATTCTAGAATTTAATGTCAGAAAACATTTTTCCTCCAGATGAAATCATTTGGTTGCCTCCAACAGACAATTTGAACTTTATAAACATTTCCTATTTCCCCTCTTTTCCTTACCTGTGAGGGCATGCAGAACTAATTTTCTCAGTGGATGGTTTCTAACCTATGTCTCTTTATTTTTTTTAATTGTTCAAGAATACCTGTTAAAGATTCATAAAATTAGTTATGTATAAAGTAACCCCATCAGTATTATCCCTAAACACTGCCATCCACAGGTAACTGTTACAAATAGTGGGCTGAACATAGTTTTAGACTTTTCCCACTAGTATAATAAATACAGGGGTGGGCAAAAGTAGGTTTATAGATGTGAATACACAAAACAGAGTTTACCTTTGTGCTATTCATTTATTAATTATTACATTAGTAATTATTATTAACCTCCGTTTGCCCATCTCTGTATATATAAGTTGAACATCAGTATCCATGGGGGGATTGGTTCCAGGAACACTGCAGATATGAAAATCTATGGATGTTCAAGTCCCATAAAATGTTACAGTATTTGCATATAACCTATGTGCATACTCCCTTATACTTTAAATTACTTCAAGATGATTACACCTGACACAATGTAAATGCTATCTAAATAGTTGTTATACTGTATTGTTCAGGGAATAATGACAAGCAAAAAGGTCTGTACACATTTAACACAGATGCAACCATTGTGGGCTAAATTAGTTTACATAGTACACATCAGCAGAAAACGTAACTCCCCCCCCCCCCCCCCCGAATATCTCCCATCCGCAGTTGGTTTTATCTACAGATAAAATGAAATCCATGGATAGGTAGGGCTGTTGAGTACACTAGCAGTGCCATAGTATATGTACTTTACAAACTGCATTTTCACTTAATAATGGGTCATGATCATTTTCCTATGCCAATAAATACAGATCTACAAAGTCATGTGTGATGGTTGCCTAGGTTTCCATTGCATGAGTGCATATATCATAACTTATTTACTGAGTCACTTATGAGTGTCCTTAGGTAATTTTTATCTTTAAGAGAGAAATACCATTATTTAACTGTTTCATTTATGTCTTTTTTTTTTTTTTTTACTGTTAGCTCCTTAAAATGATCTTTCAAAACAGGCAGGTATAATGAATGAATAATGAATAAACGAAATCCTGGGAAAAGCCTAGATATTTATAACTACAATGAGTTTGCATTATCACTATCATGTGCTCTTTATGGTGCTGTTATTCTGGAGATGAAATAATTTTCTTCCCTACCTAGGTCTTGGCCAACATGAGCGAAACGCCTTCTTCTAGTTTTTCCATGATCCATCCGGCTTCTTCTGAAGGCCAGGCTCCTTCTCTTCGCCACCTGAGCGTCACGCACCCCGTGGTGGCCAAGAGGATCAGCTTCTACAAGAGCGGAGACCCGCAGTTTGGGGGGGTCAGGGTGGTGGTCAACCCTCGTTCCTGCAAGACGTTCGATGCCCTACTGGACAGCTTGTCCGGAAAGGTGCCTCTGCCTTTCGGGGTGAGGAACATCAGCACCCCCGGGGGAAGGCACAGGATCACGTGCCTGGAGCAGCTGGAGGACGGCCAGTCATACCTGTGCTCGCACAGCAGGAGGGTGCAGCCCGTGGACCTGGGCAAAGCCCGCCGGCGCCCGCGGCCCTGGCACAGCAGCCTGGCCACAGGCACGCGTGTGCACCACCTCCCAGCTGCTGCTCCGGGCATGCTGCACGCCCCTCGCAGGCTGCTGGTGTTCAGGAACGGGGACCCCGGCGCCAGGCGCGTGGTTCTGCTGAGCAGGAGGGTCACCCAGAGCTTCGAGGCGCTTCTGCAGCACCTGGCAGAGGTCATGCGGTGCCGCGTGACCAAGCTGTTCTCCACGGATGGCAGGAAGGTGAGGGTTCTGGAAGCTCCCCATGCCCCGGGAAGGAAGGCTTAGGTACCCCTGTGTGTGCTTGCGAGCTCCCAGCCTTGTGGGCGGTTGCCTTTTCTCCCCCCGAGGGTGGTTTTTCTTCTATGCTCCCTCCCCTTTTCTTCCTTCCCTGAGCCCTGAGTTATGTAGTGTGTTGGCATAGATTTTCTTTAAAATTTTTTTTTTATTGTTTCAAGCATTAGAAATAGTAGTATATATGTCTCACCCCCCCCCCCTTGACCTCCCATCAGTATCTCCCCTACCCCCCTGTACATGCCTTCAGCTGCCCCCCGCCCCCCATACACATGTTAGTATTTCATTATTTTGTATGCATCATTGGTGCCTAACAAATATTTGGTGATTATCTCTTTCAAGCCCAGGAGGTTGTTGAATTGATTCAATCAGTGGTACAGTAACCCTACGGAAAGAACAAAACTTCATGCTACTTATGTAAGGACCCTATCTCTTTGGTTTCTTCTAGGTTCCCAGTCTTGAGGCCGTCATTGTGAGCCCTGGCGTTGTGGTGGCAGCCGGGAGGGAGCCGTTTAAACCGGGAAATTATGACATCCAGAAGTACTTGCTGCCAGCTAGATTACCATGGATCTCTCGTCGTGTGTACCCCAAGGGAAATACTAGGTCAGAAGGCAGAAAGAGTAAGTCACTTAAATATACAGTGTTTCTACTTAGTACTGAGATTTTTTTTTTAGCTCAACAGCAAATCCATGCTGAAATGACCAATTTTCTTCATCACAGAAGAGAAAATGGAATAAAAATATTCTAAACTGAAATTATTATATTTATAGTTGAAAAGTATCATAAAAGGTTATTTCATAACTTATAAAAGATTTTTCCAAATCAATCTGTGATGTTTTTGTTTAAATTGAATTGATGAGGTATAGGTTTCTTTCATATACCTAGATTTAAGAAAAACGCCAGCAGTTCTCCATTTGGAGAGGAATTCTATGGAATATGTAGGTGACATCTCTGGTAGTTACAGTTTTCTCTTAATCGTATCATGCAGAGCTCAGTAGGTTAGTTGAGTGACTGTATTTTAAAAAATCTCTAACTACATGTATTCTCCACTTACTGAAGGAAAAAACACAGGCCCTTAGATTCACTTTTTATTTGTTTAAAGCAAAGGTTTATGTAGCCACTTCATGCTGGCTAATAATAATCTAGATTGATAATTTTTCAGGAAATACTGCACAGTGTGGATAGAGGAGGAGGAGGGCTTCTTGGTGCAGAAGACTGTGGGATAGGCTGTAAATTCCCTACGTAGGCATGGCTAATTTCATTATTCATTGTGTTAAGTATTTTAGCTCTATGCTAGTGTATTGGTTGCCATTTATACTTAAACTAGAGGCCTGGTGCACAAAATTTGTGCATGGGGTGGGAGTGGGCATGGTGTGGGGGTCTCCCTCAGCCCAGCCTGCACCCTCTCCAATGCAGGACTTTTCAGGGGATATCCGACTGCCAGGTTAAGCCCGACCCCTCAGTGCCCCCCTGTTGGCCTAGTTGCCCACAACTGACCCCCTCTGCTGGCCTGGTTGCCCCCAACCGCCCCCCCTCCCACCTAGTCACCCCTCACTGCCCCTTCTGTCAGCCTAATTGCTCCCAACTGCCCCCCCCCCCCGCCGACTTGGTAACCGCCAATTGCAACCCCCCCCCCCCAGCCTGGTTGCCCCTAACTGCCCCCCTCACTCCACTGGCCTGGTTGCCTCTTACTGCTATCCCTGCTGGCCAGGTTGCCCCCAGCTGCCCCCTCCCCTCAACGGCCTGATCACTCCACACAGTCTGCTGTTTATTTGTTTGGTTGCCCTTCACTAACCCCCCCCCCCCCCCACCACCACCTGATCTCCCCACGCAGCCTGCTTGTTTAATCATTTGGTCATTCCTTACTGCTCCTGCCAGCCTGGTTGCCCTATATAGCCTGCTGTTCAGTCGTTTGATTGTCCCTCGCTAACCTTCCTATCAGCCTGGTTGCCCCACGCAACCTACTTGTTCAGACATTTGGTTGACTCTCACTAACCCCTTGCCAGCCTGGTCATAGGCAGCCATCTTGTGAAGGCGTGGTGGTCAATTTGCATATTACCTCTTTATCATATAGGATTTTAACTGGAAATAGATAAGTAGTATTAATCTTCTACTTACTATTAAAATGGGTGAAACTCATTTATTTATTGTTGTCATTTAGTTATTTTATGTATAATCTCAATAGATAATTATTAATGTTTTTGTTTTATACACATTGACTGCTGAGTATTCATTATGTATACAGTTCTACCATTTACCTTGGTCATTTTACCAAACTGATTTTATTATTTTGTGTTTAATATGGGTTGTTGAGTATGATTTTTGATGGTTTCAGGGAATCTGAGGGCTTCCTTAAGTATTACTTTAAAAAATTATCAGTGAGACATTTTCATTTAAAGTTTTGGTAAAAGTATAGAGGGATAAGAGAAAATACTTCTAGGTTTATATTTTGAAAAGTTAAGGGCATATAATTGATGGCAAGCATGTAAAAATTCTATGCAAACACTAATAGGAATTTGATTGAGTATAAGAAGCTTGAGTGCCAAGGTTATCTCCAGAAATACACATTATAAAGATAATGAGATATCTAGGCCTTACGTCTAGCTCTCTTTTGTGCCTAACGTTAAATCAGATTCACTGATTATGCAAAGTGAATGCTAAATTAATAATAATTATTTGATTAATGTAGCCTTTAAATTATAAAAGTACTTTAGCATTCATAATACTATAGATGCTTCTCTTGGATATGCATAGATGGGAAAATAAATACCACCATAAATTATTACTTGCTTTGTTTGAATAATTGAGCAGAAGTTGGGTATACTCCAATATCAGTACTGGTAAAGAAAATCAAACAACAAAAGTAAAGGCCACAAAAATCTATTTTTTGCTAGAATACTTGGCAAGTTATACTTTCCTTTTTAAAATTGCCTTATTCAACTAAGAATTAAAATTCTGTGAATACCCTCATATGAATTATGATTTTTAAAAGAAAAAGTTTGTAAAAATGTACCAGACATTACAGTAAACTCAATTAATTAATGAATACATAGAGGTGAGAACATATTAATGATATTTTACTATGAGATTTAGAAAAATTATATTTTTCATACTAATTATTTTCTTTTTCCTTTTTCTTTGCTGCCTCTTCTATTGGATATATGTATATATGACTTTTCTATCTTGCACTTTATATTTTGATGCGGGGCATCTTATACTCTTAAAATCTTGAAAGTGGGCACACTTATGCCTTCAAGCCCAAGGTCTCAGATTTATTCTGGTTCTTCTGACAAAATGCATAATAATGTTTGCTACTCAGACCATTCCTTTGCTCCTGAACATTACTTGGCCTTAGAAAAAAAGAATTCTCAGAATTTATTGATATATCCTTCTGAAGATAATGTTGAGAAATCAATTATATTTAATCAGGATGGCACCATGACAGTTGAGATGAAAGTTCGGTTCAAGATAAAAGAAGAGGAAACCATAAAATGGACAACCAGTGTCAGTAGAGCTGGTCTTTCTAATAATCATGAAAAGAGTGATATAAACAGTTTTCCAGGAAGAACAGATGATCTGAAATCTGGCTTAAAGATTGCAGCATGCTCATTGTCTGCAGATGTCTCACCTTTGGAGAAAGGCAATGATCAAGAGGACAGTTTAGCTGAGGAGATAAACACTCACGTGACAGCTCAAGAGGCTGAAACTTATAATTCTGGCTGGGAGAATTCTGCTTTGGACACAAATGCCACCCAGAGAACTCAGGATCAAGCAGAACATCATTTTTATAGGCCCCCTACACCTGGACCAAAGAGAAAGCGACAAAAGAAATCTGTGATCGGGAGTGTAACCTTAGTAACTGAAAGTGAAGTTCAAGAAAAAATGATTGGACAATTTTATAGCGAAGAAAGGAAAGATGGGGAAAACAAATCTGAGTATCACATGTTTACACATTCTTGCAGTAAAATGTCATCCGTATGTAACAAACCAGTACTTGTTCAGATAGATAACAATGAGCAGATGGAGTCATCTTTAGAAAGAAAAAAGGAAAGCAGACAACTCAAATCAAGTTCAGTAAAGGCTGGTGTTACAGAAATTACTAGTCAGAAGATGTTAGAGATGTCCCATATTAATGGCTTTCCACAGACTGTACCAGAAAACGTAGTTGTGGAGGAAGATATAGTTGATAATGCAACACCAGCCAATAAAACTAGTATGAAGAACTCAAGAACTTATGGTAACACCAATGCTAGGTTCTGTCATATTTTAGCAGATGCAATGCCTTCTTCAAGTAAAAATTCTGGAACTGACAAATCTATTTCTGAGACCCCAGCTTCAGTAGGATCCTCTACTATCACCAGAAGAATTGACAGACTAATTAATCAATTTTCTCAGTGCAGTTTAACTAAAGTTCCAGAAAATGAAAAGCAGATTCTATCATCTGTTGCCAGCAAAAAGCTGATATCTCAGCAGCAAGTGAAAAGTTATAGGCATCAGGATGGAGAGATTGCAGCTAAAGGAATCCCTAGTAAGAAAATAAACACAAGGGGTAGAATTGCACAGGAAGCCATATTGCAAGATTCACACAGTCCCATTGACGGAGGGTTGCTTTGTGAGGAAGATCTTCATGCAAGTGACAGGGTAATTGAAACAAATTATTTTTGTTCCCAAAGTAATCTCAATCCTGTGAATTCTAAGAATTTCCAAATAAATAAATTAAATGTGATTCAGAATCCTAAGGTCCAAGGACTTAGAGCCAAAAGAAAATCCAGACCATTAAACAAAGTAAGCTTTGGAGGCCATGCAAAAAAAGAAGCTGGTCAAGGAGATAAAGCATTTCCCCATAATAAACTCAGATATTACAAAAATATTTTTGAAAATCAAAATGTATTTCACACGGTTAACTTTCTTGAGCCAAACCCCAGTGCGTTTGGAAGACCACAGGCTCAAGCAGAAATAGCATCTTGGTATTTGGGAGGAATGGAAAAGAAGAGTTTAGTTTCAAAAGTCAGCAATTCACACATAACTTTAAAAAGTCAGAAAAAACAAAAAAGGGATAAGTCAAAATCAGGAACTATTGTAAGTAAACAACGTGCTACAACAAGGGTAAATCCCTTACCATCTTTGAAAAACACTGTTTTTTCTGAGGATATTACCCATCATTCAGTCCAAAATTATATACAGAGATGGTTGCAGAACATAAATCCACATTCAGCTTTGCAACCTAAAAAATCATCACCAATATGCAAAAAGGAAAGGCGTGTGGTAAGTTGTAACAATGGTTTTGCAGGAAACAATTATCACACAAGTTCTGAAAAAGAAAATAACTCTGTCATGGAGAGTAATAAACGCATAACTAAAAATGATAGTGTGACAGGAGATAATCTAGATAAAGAGGTAGGTAAATCTTTTGACAAAGATAACAGTGAAGAACTGACCGAAGATCTCCATGAGAGGCAGGTTGAGTCTCTGAATGATGCTTACTTGCTTTCCCTACATGAATGTTGTACTGTGTCACAGTCAGCTATTGATGATCATAATACTAAACGTCACGGAGCTGTTGAAAAGTCAGGACATTGTTTACCAAGCCTTGTTTACCAAGAAATAAACCTAGCTACAAAAGGGCAAAGTGTAGAGGCTGCCACCCAAGTAGGTCCAATGGAAGAAGGCACTCCAAAAGACCTCTTTCTAGTACTTTTGCTTCGCCAACTGCAAGCTTTAACTTCCAGTATTCACCAGACCCAGAATGGTATTGTTCCAATGCCAGGTTCACTTGTAGATGTTCCTTTCCATTCTCCAATATGTGATTCACCCACTAATGTCCTCCTAGATTGGCTCTTGGTGCTAAACCTAAAGGGAAGTGTGAATAGCCTCTGCCAAGGTGATGCTCACAAGACTACCAACAGGACTTCTGAATTACTTGCATTGTTGGAGGTCCTAAAGCATGTTGCCATCACAGAGGAAGCTGATGACTTGAAGACTGCTGTGGCCAATTTAGTGGAGTCCACTACAAATCCCTTTGGACTCCCTGAGAAAGGACAAGATATGGTTCCAGTCGGTCTTTCCACAAATTGTTCCACACTTACTACTCAGAGACTTTCTGAGTGCACTGAGAATGAAAAAGCACAGAACATCTTCTCTTTAAATGCCAATGAGGACTGTGCTCCTAAAGTTTGTGTTTCAGAGGTGACTTCCTCTCCATGTGAGGTGTGCACTGGGAGTAAGATTTACCCTCCAAAAGAGACTTGTAGCCTCAGTAACATTTTGTCCCATAGTGATGGCTGTACCATGGATCAGACCTCTATGAGTCAGGCTTGTTTCCTAGGAAAGGGCTATTCACTTACTGATGTGGTATCTTCCCATAAGGTTTGTGCTCATGAGGAAAAACATACTTATGAGAAAGCTTGCCCAATGGATGGGGCCTACATTCCCATCAAAGTCTGTAATACCGGTGACTTTTTCCAAAGAAATTCCAAAGAAATCACATATACTGATAATTTGGGATTCATTGAAGAGCTAGAAAGAGTTGATGAAGTTCAGAAAGACCTGAATATTTTGGCAGACCATGAGTATAATAAACATGGCTTTAATGTATTGATGCCACACCAAAATAGCAATTTAAGCCATTATGGTGTTTCCCTAAATGCAGCTGAACTAGAATTTGATAAAGAACATAGTGCTCTAGATGAATCTAAAGGTGGTTTATTAAAGAAATCTCAGGATAAAAATTTATATACAACTTTTGATAAGAAAGAATCAAAAACTTCTAAAGAATCAGGTTCAATAACTGAAAGCATAACATCAAATGAAAGACACATTTCAGAACTGGAATCCTTTGAGGAATTAGAAAAGCAGAACATTGATATCTTTAATACAAAGCTAAATTCTGGAGAGCAAATGACTGAAGAATTGATCCAAAAAGAGTTAGAGACTAGTGAAAATATGGAATTAATAGAAGTCTCTAGCAGGAACATTGTGGAAGAAGAAAGAGGGAATGGTGTAATTTGTAAGGCAAACAGTAGGGGTCTGGCACCACCACCACCTTTAGTGTTTTGCCCTGTTCCTGAAAAGGAACTCAATGAAGGAGAAACTAATACGAGGGTAAAAATGATGGTGAAAAGCATGGAAATTGGAAGTTGTTCAGAGTCCCCTCTTGATGTTAAAAATGGCTTCAAGAGAACAGTGACTTCTGATTGGTCAGACTATACACAAGACAGTGAGAACGATCAGCCATGGAAAACATCCAGTGATAGCTCCAATGACAGCGGTGAGGAGATTGCTCAAGAGAAAGACTATAATAAAGGATTTGTTAAGAGAACAATAGAAAAACTTTATGGTAAAGTGGATGTTGTTAAACCATCTTTTTTCCCTCCGAATAGATCTCAGGTTTGTCCTTACAATTCTGTGGAATTTCAGTGTGCTAGAAAAGCAGATCTTTATGATTCTGAAGGTCAGTCATTTGGCTCATCTGAACAGGTATCCAGAGGTTCATCTAAGTTGCAGAAATTTCAAGAGGAAAGTCAAGATAAATGTGACTTTAGTGAGATGAAGGCCAATTATCATGGGGGAGATATTGTAGAACATAGCACAAAACAAAATGATCATAACAGTATCTCCAGGGACAGAGAGGAAGGAATATTGATTGACAAGGGCAAGTGGCTCCTGAAAGAAAATCATTTGCTAAGAGTATCATCTCCTGAAAAGTCTGGCATATGTGGCAATGCAGATACTATGTCAGTGGATACTCTTCTTGAGAATAGTAATGCACCATATTCACATTTTGGAAATTTGGCCCCAGACTCAAACATGGCTGAGCTCTCCTCTTCAGAATTGGAGGAACTGACTCAACCCTTTGAACTGAAATGCAATTATTTCAACATGCCTCATTGTAGTGACTCTGAGCCTTTTCAAGAGGATTTGCTAGATGTTCAAAATAAAACTTGTCCTAAGGAGAAAATACGAAACCATCATGCAGAGGAGATGGGTCATCATAGGTCGGAAAGAGTATGCACCTCTGTCACTCATGTCTTTACTGCTGCCAACAAAGTCCATCCCGCCTCTAATGATACTATTAAACATCAGCCATTGCCTGGAAATAATAATACTCATGGTGCACTTCAGGAAGGTGACTCTCTGGATAAACTCTATGCCTTTTGTGGTCAACATTGCCCAATTCTAACAGTTATTATCCAACCTATAAATGAGGAAGACAGAGGATTTGCATATTGCAAAGATTCTGATATTGAAAATTCCTTGGACAACTATTCATGGATGAAAATACGCCCCTGTTTCCTAGAGTCAAACAAGACTGTGTTCAGAAATAAGAAAGCAAGTAGTAGAAAGGCATTTATTGATGAAGCCATTGGTGATATATTTGATCAACTTTATTTCAATAGCATACGTGACTTGATGGGTAAAAGAAGAAAATCAAAAAGAATTAACTTCTTGGACTTAGAGGAAGAAAATAAATTAAATTTTCAGTTATATTTAAAGAAAAGGTTTTGTGTGAATTTATTACACACATTACTGCTAGTTGTGGGTGATGTGAACTCAAATACACAAGGTCCCAACAATCAGACAAATGAAATATTTGAAGTAGTTGATGAGAATAACAACTTATTAAACAACAGATTCCAGAGCTCAAGGACAAATCTGAACCAAGTAATAAGAGAAAATATCAACTATTATTTCTTCTTTGAAATGTTTGGTCAAGCCTGCCTAGTTTGCCAACATGAGACATCCTTAAATATTAGCAACAGAAATGTATTAAAATATCTTATGTTTTTTAGGGTGAAAATTTTTTCATTTGGGAAGAGGAAAACCAACTAAATTAAGTAATTTTGAAAGTAGCGAGGAAGAGGAAGACATATAATTTCAACATCATCACAGCTTTTTTTTCATCATGAGTTTTTTTCCTTGTAATAAGATGATATACATGGGATGGATATGGATTAGATAACCTCTAAGAATTTCCTACTTCTTCAAAATGTCGATCCGATTTGACATACCATCCCTCTGTTCTTCATTTTTCCGATAATTACAGACTCAGTTTCTATTCTATTATTTCAGAAGTGTGTGTGTGTTTCTGATAATCATTTCATATATCTGTAATTTTTCTCCTAGGATAGAAGTATGATTGTAATCTCTAAAGTTTCTTGTGCCAAATGTGTTGAATTTAGTTTTCCTCAGAGCATCTGTTAAATGAACTTGTAAGCATTTCCATGGAACAGGATTCACCATTTTTCTTCATGATTAGAAAAAGATGTTCTACTACTAAGCTGCCTCTCCAGTACTTTACCTATAAGTTATAATCTTTTAAATATTAGTAAAATGTCAAGAGATTCAAATAGGTCATACAAAATGGAAAATTTTGAGGCATGCTCTGTGAAGAAAAATTGAAGGAGCTGGAACAATTTAACTTGGAAAAGAAAAGAGATGATTTTAGAGGTGACTTTAAACTTCAGAATTGAAAAAGTGCTTCTATGAAGAGGAACTTGACAGAATTCTTCTGTGTTAACCTGCATTAATAAAAATTTAATTATATATAAACAAAAACATGTTGCTTAGAGGAAAATTCAACTAAACTTTGAACCATAAATTCTCTGCTTTGAATATCGTGATATTTTGCCTGAAACTTAATCCAGGAACCTTTTAAGATCCCTTCTTCTTCCTGACTATATGATGTTATAGAAATGAGTTTTATAAAATACTGAAATCTATGTCTCTTGTCTGGAATTGACTCAAAGTAGAATGATGAATGTTTTGTGGAGTCACACGTAGAGGTGCTAAAATAACAAAGTTGGTATTAAGAAACTAAAAGGTAATTAATTTTATGGAGAATACCTTTGGTCAGTTGAATATAAGTAATAAATCCATAAGAAATTATGAGTTGCTATTTATTTCACCAGGTGAAGACTGCCTCTACATACAGAGTATGGTTTTTCTACATTGTGATACATACTTCTAATTGAAAGGTGAAAGCTTAATGTTATGTAAGCTTCTATATTGAGCAATGAGTACTTTGGTTGAAATTGTGGAGAAATAATAAAAAGAGGAGAAGAGTTAACATTAATTTTGTGTCTACTATTTACCAGAGACTATGATAGTCTTACAGATTTCCTTATAAAGACCCTGTTGACTTTGATACTACCTTTTTGCATATGAGACAATCTGCAAGCAGAGAGTCAGAGTACTTTTGTCCAGGTGCACAGTAGGCATCATGTCAGGATTAGAACCCAGTCATTCATTCTTGAAAACATGCTGTTTTTGCTACATCTTTATTCTGTATATGAGGTAGATGGGATAAAATGAAAAAAAAATTATGTAGCACTTTTCCTGGAGCAGAGAGACAAGGAAATTATTGTTGTCTTTAATTTGGAAAGATTGTGATATATAGATGTGTCAAGAAGATTGGGGAAATTGCTCATAATAACTGGGAGTTTTTAGAAAATTTGGCATGGTATATGGTTTTTAGTAATACTACATCAAACAATGGCTAGGTAGCCCAGATGATATTGGGAAAAAGAAATTGGGAGTGATAACCATGTAATGTACTTTTTATTTAAAATAACATTTGTATGTATTGAAATCCAGCCACATCTTATGGTTATATCCCAGATCTAGTGTATTTCTTAGAACATAAAAAGCACCTAGTGAGTGTGTGTTGAATGGACAAGAAGTGCTTTTGAATGCTTTTTCTTTACATCTTACTAACTTTGGATACATACGTGTAGAGGGATATGCAAAGATCTAAGTTTAGATCTAAGTTTCTTGTATTTTATGAAGCAATACTTCAATCACTTTAAAAATGTCTGTGGAAGTGATTTTTTTCTTTTAAACATTCAAAAACTTTTATATATATTTTATTGATTTTTTACAGAGAGGAAGGGAGAGGGATAGAGAGCTAGAAACATTGATGAGAGAGAAACATCGAAAGCTGCCTCCTGTATACCTCCCACTGGGGATGTGCCTGCAACCAAGGTATATGCCCTTGACCAGAATTGAACCTAGGACCTTTCAGTCCACAGGCGGATGCTCTCTCTATCCACGGAGCCAAACCAGTTAGGGCCAAAAACTTAAAAAAAATATTTTTTTCACAATGATTGTATTATTGAAAAAAATCTTGTAACATCGTGAAATTTAGAAGACTACATGAAACGTTGGAGGAAATTTAAGAATGTTACCCAGACCTGGCTGTTGCTTTAGAGATGTAGTGCCTCGGGGCTGAGGAAGCAATTCTAGCCTGTTTATTGTGTTCTAGGGAAGAAACTGGATTTCAGGATTTTGGGTCCTCAAGTGGAGTGGTGCAGTTACAGCTCATGCCCAGCAGATGGCAGCTGTGCTGTGCTGCCGGAGCACAGGCTCCCTCAGCAGGCTGCAGGACTAAAGGGAGTGCCTCCGGCATTAGGGCCATCTCAGGGCTGTTTGCTTCTGCTTCAAAGAAAGCAGAGGACCCAGTTGTGCAGGCAGCCCTGCCTTAAACCCAGAAGGAACAGTGGTGTTAGCAATTAATGGAAAAATGCTGTGAGTAGCCCGGAGCTAGAGTTCAAAAGGGAATGTGGAGAAAAATGCCAGCTATTAAGAATCCTCAGAGTTGATCCCCAGGAAAGCTGAATTTGGGAATAATGGGAGCAACCAGAAATCCTAACTTAAGTTGCAATTAAGGTAATTAGTGATTGGCTTAGTGGAGGAGGGGTTATTTTTACATGAAATAATATATTACCCCCTAAACCTTTCCGTGACACAAAACATACCCCTTATCAAGGTTAAATTTGAGGTCTCCACGCTATTTTGCATGTTTGTAATACTCACTTTGTTAGTTTTCTCATTTATAAAATAGGGCCGCCCACTTTAATATTCCTATGAGAAGCTACCTTTATAAGATTACTGGGAGAGGTTCCCTGGAGAGAATGATTTTAAAGCTCTTAGCATGGACCTTGCCACATAGTACTGAATGTATTTTAGTTTTGTTTTTTTTTTAATTGATTTTTTACAGAGAGGAAGAGAGAGGGATAGAGAACTAGAAACATCGATGAGAGAGAAACATCAACCAGCTGCCTCTTGCACACCCCTTGCTGTGGATGTGCCCACAACCAATGTACATGCCCTTGACCGGAATCGAACCCAGGACCTTTCAGTCCGCAGACTGAGGCTCTATCCACTGAGCCAAACCGGTTTTGGCTTAGCTGTTTTTTAAAGCCATTAGTGCTAATGTCTTTGATATGCTTTTAAAAAGTTGTGTTTGTCTAATCAAAAATTATTTAACTTGCATGGGTACTAAGTAACATAAAGTAAATATAATTTCAACATCTATTCCTATGAGCCTTAATAAAAGTAAAGGTGACTAAAAGATAGATATAGAGGCAGTAAAGCAACAAGCAGACTGTCAAATTACAGCGGGGAGGTTAGGGAGATCTGGGGGAGATAAGAGATCAACCGAAGGACTTGTATACATACATATAAGCATAACCAATGGTCACAAAACTCTGGGGAGGGAGGGCATGTATGGGGGGGGGGCAATGGTATATGTACAAAGATAATAATTTAATTTTTTTTTAAAAAAAAGTAAAGGTGACTAACATTTTGAGTCTTGCTTGGTGCCAAAATTATGGTAGGTGCTATATGTATACTGTCTTAGTCCTCACAATAACTCCCTCAGATGGGCCATAGTATCTTTAGCATAAGTTAGAGGAAACTGAGGTTCATGGGACCCAAGAAAGAAGTATTTTTCTTCTGTATCTGTATAGGCACACCTCGTTTTATTGTGCTTTGTGGATACATTTTAGGTCAATTGAAGGTTTGTCTGTCAGCACCATTTTCCTAACAGGTTCAGATGATGGTCAGCAGTTTTTAGCAATAAGGTATTTTCTAACTAAAGTATGTACATTTTAAAAAGACATAATGCTATGATACATTTAATAGACTAGAGCATACTAGTAGTGTAAACATAACTGTTATATGCTCTGGGAAACCAAAGTATTTGTGTGACTTTCTTTTATTTTTTTAATATATATTTATTGATATTTTACAGAGAGGAGGAAGGGAGAGAGGGAGCTAGAAACGTCAATGAGAGAGAAACATCGACCAGTTGCCTCTTGCACACCCCCCACCAGGGATGTGCCCGCAACCAATGTACGTGCCCTTGACCGGAATCAAACCTAGGACCTTTCAGTCCGCAGACCGACGCTCTACCACTGAGCCAAACTGGTTTCGGCTGTGACTTTCTTTTATTATCATTCATTTTTTTTGCAGTAGTCTTGAACTGAGTCTACAATATCACCTGTATTTCATCCTCACAAATATCCCAGAGTTTTGTGGATATGCTATAAACATCTCTACTTTAAAAATGTAAAAATACTTTGTATTCCCTGTTTATTGGAGCTACATGGGGTTTTGTAACTGCCCAGAGTAGCATTGTAAATCAAAATTATTATAATATAAAGTAGTATACTTTTTCCATACAGGCTATAATATAAACACATGCCAAGTATTTTATTTAACTCATTAATTAACTAAGGAACCAGTAATATATTACGGTGGACTCAAAAAAGAATTTAAAGTATCACACAAAAATAGTGAGAGAAAGAATGCCGAAATGTATATGGGTCTGTCTAGGACAGTAATTAATTGCATTCCATTGGACACAAATTTATATTTCTATAGATAAGAATAATTTACATTACTAATTTTTATTTTATTTTATTTTTTACAATTTACAGGATTGTAAGATAATTAAAACAATGGAAGGCAGATATCCCTGAGATTACTTGATAAGACATTTCAATATTTTTTAGCTCCATTTTGAAGTGGTTCATAATTTTTCCACACAG